GAGGTTGGTGTTTTTGTACAGGGAAAACTTTTCCCTGGTTTAAGATGAAAAACCTGCCACCATTATCTATTCTTACATATTGCCTAATCTTAAATTATGATATGACGCGAGTTCTCAATCATGCTCGTCGGAGCCAGTCTTGACATGTGCTCTCGGTTGGTCTCAACTTGGCTTATGAAAACACATCTCAACGGTGGCTCTATAACCGAGTCTTTGGTCCTTATCTCTCTGGCTTGTAGGCGGAGCATGCTTCAAGGTGAGAAAAGTGGGAGTGCCCTTCGGTGTCAGTAAAACTTGGTTAATTTCCCCGCCTCGTGCGCTTCCTGTTGCTCGCTGATCGTTCATTAGTGCTCGTTGCTATTGACTTCGTCGGCCTCGATTGCCTTCGCTTGCGTCTGGTACGCTGTCGGTATATAGTGTAAGAATATCAGCATCTGTGATGTCTGATTCATGCGTGCAGGTACGCTTCCCATCCGGCCATTGCAGTAGGTGTTCCTGGGATTCATCATCTTTTGTGGATGGTCTGTGGTCAAGTGTCGAGGAGAATTGAGTTTCTTCCGATGGTTGTACTTGACTGTTCGTGGTGAATTCTTCCACAGCATTGGCTTTCTTGACTAGTCCGATTAGCTCATCACTGACCGAGTTAAGATATTCGGGGGCTAAAGTCCCATCAAGGTTACATACAAAATACTCGTTGCCCTCCTTGCTCATCATCTTGTAAGGTCATCCGTATGGTGCTGTCATTTTATTCATTTCACCTTGGTAACGAACCATCACAATGTCCCCATCCTTGAAGTGTACATACTTCTCTCGGTATTTACGGTCATATGCTGCGCGCATATTTTCTTGATATTGTGCAACATTTTCTAGGTGTGATCGTATCGACTCTTCTAGATTCTTCAGTCGTGTTTCCCATGGTACTGTTGTACCGGGTGCATTGATTGTTGTTATAATCGGATAGTTTGTTGTGTCGTCGTCCGTCCATAGTACACATTGAAACGCATTTATTTGTGTCTGTGTGATGAACGTAGGTTGTGGCTCATTTGAACAAATGGAAGGCGTGAACACCAGTTGCCTGGATTTTATTCAACAAATTTCCGCAGTAAGGGTATGAGGTCTCAATGTAAACGCTAATTTGCTCCCATTACTATGGATTGGTACGGTCTGTACACTAGGTGTTGTGACGGTGCTGGCTCGATGATTTCCGAGAGTATGTCATTCACGTATTCTGTGCCTTGATCCATTTGTATGACTTGTGGAAAGCCATGTTCACACATGATTGGAACTAGTGTTCATGTGACAGTTGCCGCCGACTTGTCCATCATTGGTCTAAGTATAGCATGATGAGTGTATATCGAGCCAAACCAGGACGCATGTGTTGCCTCTATTCGAGTCTATCAAGGGACCAATGGTGTCCACTTGTATCTTGTCGCCCGGGAATGCGGCCGTTATTGATTGTAAGGGTTGGAACACCTTCTTGTGATTTTTTTTTGAGACATGGTACACAGCCTTCAATATATTGATTGACATGTTTTTCTGGCATGACCATGTGTGACCATCTAATTTAAAGTTTGTTCACTGTTTCTTCAACGGGGTAGTGACCCACGGTAAGGTATTGGGCTATCAAGGTAGCTCTGTTATCATATGTGACTGTGTCTAGTTCTGTCGACTCGTCCGCAGTTTGTACGGACGCATTTTTTACGGCTGGGTTTTCTAGTTTTTGATCAAAGTATGGTAACTTTGTGCATTGATTGTAAGGGTTGGAACACCTTCTTGTGATTTATTTGATTGAGACATGGTACACAGCCTTCAATGTATTGATTGGCACGTTTTTCTGGCATGACCATGTGTGACCATCTAATTTAAAGTTTGTTCACTGTTTCTTTAACGGGGTAGTGACCCACGGTAAGGTATTGAGCTATCAAGGTAGCTCTGTTATCATATGTGACTGTGTCTAGTTCTGTCGACTCGTCCGCAGTTTGTACGGACGCACTTTTTGCGGCTGAGTTTTCTAGTTTTTGATCAAAGTATGGTAACTTTGTGCCTATTTTGGCTACTAGTGTGACCCCTCATGGTGTTTTGCCGCAGGCTGTTGTGCCGTTTTTAGGAATGTGTTGTTCGTGTTTTCGACTATCATCGGGTCTTGCTCAAATAGTGACAAGAATTTGGGGAACCACGTCGCATTTGGATACCATGGTACACTTATTGTGATTCTCGTGGCTTCCTCTATGACTTTGTCAGTGAGGATTCGCCCATGCGCTTAATTCATCTGCCCATTTTTGGAGTATTGCATTCTGTTCTTTGGTGTAGAACTTTTCTGTATGTGCATTGTGTGCTGCTGCAAATAAATCGATGGTAGGAACCACGTCGCATTTGGATACCATGGTACACTTATTGTGATTCTCGTGGCTTCCTCTATGACTTTGTCGGTGAGGATTCG